GCAGTGGGTTGCCATGGGCTACCGTATGTAGACAGCAGCCAGCGTGAGCGGCCAGCAGTCGCAATGAGCGGCCATCCAGAAGCCGGCGACTGATCTGCCTCGCCCAGGAAGAGTGCAGTGATGTTGCCAACTTGGGCCAGTGAAGCAACGTCCTCTACAACTAGACTGAAGAACAAAAGGACAGCAACTTGTCTGTTCCCCTTCCCCCAATTCCCCAAAAAAAAAAAAAAAACTAAAAAAAAAAAAAAAAAGCAGCAAGAGAAAAGCAATTAGTTATCTACAAGGGAGGTCTGATAAGACTGCTAGCTGATTTCTCAACAGAAACTTTGCAGGCCAGAAGGGATTGGCAGGAAATATTCAAAGTGATGAAGAGCAAGGACCTGCAATCAAGATTACTCTACTCAGTGGAGTAGAGAGTGGGAATGGAGTCAATGGAATTGTAATAGATAAGCATGATATCGGGGAATGGGAGGGCAGTAGATGGGGGAGGGGGGTTGTTTCTGTGCGAAGGGTGAAAAGGATAACTATTGCAATGTTCTGTACACCTGAAACTAACAATAAAAAATAAATTAATAAAATTAATTAAAAATAATTAATTTTAAAAAAAAGATTACTCAGCAAAGCTACCATTTAGAATTGAAGGACAGATAAGAAGCTTCTCAGACAAGAAAAAGCTAAAGGAGTTCATCACCCCCAAACCACTATTATAAGGAATGTTAAAGGGACGCTTTAAGAAAAAAATGTTTCAAAGATGAAAAATATGAATAATAAAATGGCAATAACTATATGTCTATCAACAATTAACTTCAATGTAAATGGATTATATGCTCCAATCTACATTGCTGCCTACAAGAGATGAAAAGACACACACAGACTGAAAGTAAAGGGACAAAAAAAGATATTCCATCAAAATGGAAATCTGAACTCTCTTGTTCATTGTGTCATTATTCACAATAGCTAATATATGGAAACTATTTTTAAGTGTCTGTTGATGGATAAATGGAAATTAAGATTGTGGTATACTTGTATACATATAATGGAATATTATTCAACCACAAAAAAGAAGGAAATCCTACCATTTGCAACAACATGGATGCTTATGCTAAGTGAAATAAGCCAGACAGAGAAACTCAAATATCTTATGGTATCACTTATATGTGGAATAAAAAAAATAAGTCAAACACATAGAAACAGAGTAGAATGGTGGTTGCCAGGGGCTGTAGGGTGGGGAAAATGGGAAGGTATTGGTCAAAGGATACAAACTTTCAGTTGTAAAATGAATAAGTTCTGAGAATTGAATGTACACATGGTGACTGTAGTTAATAATATTGTATTGTATACTTGAAATTTTCTAAAAGTGTAAATCTTAAGCATTCTTACCACAAAAAAAAAGAAATAAAGAAAAATAAAAAGGTAACTATGTGTGAAGTAATGGAAGTGTTAATTAACTTGATTGTGGTAATTATTTCACAATATATACATATGTAAAAACATCATTTTTTACATTTTAAATATATACAATTTTATTAATCAATTATACCTCAATAAAGCTGGGGGAAAAACATAGGGGAAATCTTCATGGCCTTGGATTTGGCAATAATTTCTTAAATATGACCAATAGCACAGGCAACAGAGGAAAAAAATTAATAAATTGGACTTCATCAAAATTTTAAAATTTTATGCATCAAAGGACACTATCAAAAGAGTGAAAAGATAACCCACAGAATAGGAGGAAATATTTGCAAATCATATATCTGATAAGAATGTATTATCCATAATGTACAAAGTACTCTTACAGTTCAATAACCAGATTTATATTTTAGGAAAAGTCCTCAGCCTGCTGGAAGGAGGGGGAAATCCTGGAGCTCAAAGTGCAGAGAGAAGGAAATCACAGTGTTCTAGGGAACAGGTGGTGAGTTCTGCACCATAAGTGCCTGGGAATGAAAGACTGCCTGACTTAGGTGGCTTGGGAACTGACTGACAAGCTGTCAAGTTGTAATTTATACATTCTAATGAGGGCTGGATGCCAGATGCCAGCTCAGGATTGTTTTTCTGAGAAAGGAAGTGGAGGGAGGTGCCTATTCTGACTGGGGATGGGAAACTTAAAGTGTCCGCCTACAATAAATAAGCAGCAGACCAGTCCGAGCCCACACACTCCGGGACCCCCAACTTGCGGCTATTCAGCTCTGGCCTCCTACTCACCCTCTACACCAGCCATGGCTCAGTCACTGGCTCTGAGACTCCTTGTCCTGGTCCTGGCCTTTTGCATCCCCTGGACCCAAGGTATCAAGGAAGAAGTTTTCTAAGATGGGGGTATAGGGCTGGAGAGGCCTGAGTGGGAGCCTACAAATAACCCCTGGCTCCCTGTGAACCCACTCTGCAGGCAGTGATGGAGGGGCACAGGACTGTTGCCTCAAATACAGCATAAAGAAGATCCCCACCCCGATTGTCCGCAGCTACCGGAAGCAGGAGCCAAGCTTGGGCTGCCCCATCCCAGCTGTCCTGTGAGTGGGTGCAAGGGGGTGGGTGCCGCAGAGTGGGGAGGGCATGGTGGGCAAGACTAGCACAGGTTTGCTAACACCCGACCCCTAGGTTCTTAACTTGGAGGCGCAATCAGCCAGAGCTATGTGCGGACCCTAAGGAGGCCTGGGTGCAGAAGCTGATGCAGCATCTGGACAAGACACCAACCACACGGAAACCAGTCCAGCGCTGTAGAAAGGACAAGTCTGGCAAGAAGACAAGGGGGTCCAAAAGCTGTAAGAAGTGAGGAAGCTGAAGGGATGGGAGGATGGAAGGGAAGGGGAGCCTTGATCAGTTCCTCAAACCCTTCTTCTCCCCTCCCAGGACTGAACAGCCACAGACCCCGAAAAGGTCATAGCTCAGACCAGCCTGGAGCCCAGGAGGTCCCCATCAGCCTCACCAGGGTTTGAAGCCCCAATCCAAGGGGCAAGAAGCAGGCTAGGAGAGAGAGAGGACTCAGAAGCCCCTGAGTAGCCACCTCATGCTGGCCTTGCCTCGCCCCTTCTCCCGCTTCAGCCACCTTTTTTGTATTCCCAGCCCTACCCGCATGGCTGAACTGCCTACATCCACCAGGCCCAGAGAGGCAGAGGAGGGAATGCGAGAGGAGGCAGCAGGACTGCCCCCTCTGAGGAAAGTCCACCTAGGAGACTGGACCTGAACCTGCCTCCACACTGCACCGCACCTCTTCCTTGTAAACATGATTTATACGTAACTGAATAAAAAGCTGTTCTGGCTTCCCACCCTGTGTGTTCCTGCGTTGTTGTGTCCATGGGGAAGCCAGTGTCACTACAGGGTAAGGTCACCATAGTCTGGTGTCCCGACTGAGAGCTCAGGTTGGTGAATTCTATGTTCTCACCTATCCCAAGAGTTTCCTTCCTTCCCAGGTGCCCAGACCTGTGGGCAACAGAAGGGAAGCTGACAGGCAGGGTGGCACCTGGGTTGCTTCTCATTTCTGAGAAATTCCTGCCAATGGAGAGATGGTAGACCTCTCTGGCTCTGCAGGCCTCCGAGACCCTGAAGAGATCCCTTCCCTGATTATGTCCAGTATTCTCTCACTCCAAGCTCTACCAGAGTCTGCCTCTTCTTTCCTTGAGTCTTACTGAATGCAAACCTCCAATTACCTCTGCCACCAGCACCTTGGGTTCTTACAACCTCCCAGGAGAGAAATCAAGAGAGTTCAGGCATGAGGCAAAAGATTATTAAGCTTGTGCACAAGGGAATCAACACCAAGAAAGGAAAGGAAAGTCTCCTCAAGAGAAGTTGGGGCCAGGTTTTAAAGGGAGCTAGGTGGGATAAAAGCTATATCTAGGCAAGTAAAGACGGAGTTTCCTTGGAGCCTGTGCAGTGCAGCTACATGCTTCTTTATGGTCGCATGTTTCATTATCATGGTAAATCTCTACCCCTGTGCATGATTTTTAGTATTTAAATTAGGGAAAGGTCACCTTAGGAACACTCTTGGGCTTACTGCTCATGTGCGGTGAAAGATCTACTGGTACGCAGGTCTTTATGGTTTGCCTCCCAAGGCTCCTTAATGCTCATGGGTGATACCCAATTTTCTTGTGAAAAGGGCGGATTTTCATTAGTCAGCTAACCTTTCTGAATAACTCAATAGCAGGAAGTTGCCCTCATGTCTCATCTCTTTGGGAGAGTCTCCAGGAGGGAGGCTGAGGCCTGGGCCCACCTGTAACACAGACAAACACAATCTTACTGAAACATACCTTAGTCAGAGTTTCAGCTCTGGGAGCCCTCCAGAGCCCATATCGCCTCCCAAAAACCCAAGAGGACTCCCTTCTGTCCCAATCAATAAAGCATGGTCCCTGGCATCTTGTTTGTTTGTTTGTTTGTTTGTTTGTTTGTTTGTTTGTTTGTTTGTTTGTTTAATGGGGCTGTATTCCCATTTGGGATTCTTGACTCCCTCAGCTTCCTTCCAGTTGGGAAAGCCTCCTGCCCTTCCCTTCTTTTCTCCTTTCTCCCCTGGCTGGAACCCAAGGTACTTTAGACCCTTTAATCTCTTGACACCAAGGACTAAGTCTCCTGTGGCAGGTATTTGGAATCCCAAAATTCAGATGTAAATCAGGCTCCTCTCCAAGAAGATGCCTGCCTGGCTCTCCTCTACCACTTCCTCCCCAGAGAAGAGATACTCCTATTCCACCTTCACCCCTAGGTAGAGAGTGGAAGGACTATCAGATGGGACCAGGCCATGTGGAAAAGAAGGGAACAGATCTTGGGAAAGGGGCAAGAAGTTAGAGGTGGCTGCCCCACCACCTTAACCTTCCACTGTAGCCTGAGCATGCCACAGCACTCAACACTTATCATAAGGTCTTTAAAGTATTTGCTATCTGCTCCTCCTACAACAGGTGAAGACAGGGGCTCCTCCCTACCTATCCTCATGCAGAAGGTGTGATCTTAGCCTACAAATACAGATGTGCAACAATTACTGCATTTTAAAATGTTCTTTCAAGAACTTGATTCCTACTCCAAACCACTGCACCAGAGTGCTGGTGAGAAATTCAACATCAGACACTCTTAGGATCCCATCTGTCAAGGGCTGTGCAGAAGTCATAGAAATACCAATGCACAAGAGAGGCTTCCTATCTGCCCCCTACAACATCCTATCATTGGACATCAATCTCACCAATGAATGCTGTGGCCTCTGTGGTTCCAGCAGGAATGACTCTCCAGGTCCTGGACTCTCAAATTGTTAGCTCTATGCCACATTTGAGACATAGGAATTCAGTTATGAGAGCCTGTGGGCTTGAACCTGGTTCCCCCCAGAAACCCCACAGAGCCATCTACTCAGGTCCTGCCACTTACTTTATCACAACCAGGAATTAGAGCCCCTCGCCCACGCTGGCTGGACCTACACACCAATCCCCTCCACAGTCTTAAAGAGCTCTCTCCAAAACTCTCCCTCTTCCCAGCCCCTCCAAGGCATAACCTCTTCCCGAGTTTGCTTTAGACTTCTACAAAGGTAGAAGGGCCTTTGACATCAGGATGCCTGTACTCTCAGCCCTGCCAAAACGTTTGCTTGCACTAAAGAGAAAAAAAAAATAAGCAGAATAAATAAAACTTCATATTTCACTAAATTATCCTGCCATACTTGCATGCCTCGTATTTGCCTCCAGCCCTGCCCTGAGTAGACATGCAATTATGTTCTTTATCATTAGAGAATAAATTAGCCACTCTTCTGGTCTGCCTTCATATTTGACAATGTTGTCCTGTTCTTTCTTCTTCTATAAGATGCATAATTTTTAAAATATCAAATAATACATATTTATGGTTTAAAAATATCAAAAAGGGGGGTGGCCAGGTGGCTCAGTTGGTTAGAGCACGTGCTCTGAACAACAAGGTTTGCCTGCTGGTTCAATTTCTGCATGGGATGGTGGGCTGCACTCCCCGCAACTAGATTGAAAACGGCGACTGGACTTAAAGCTGAGCTGCACTCTCCACAACTAAGATTGAAGGACAACAACTTGACTTGGAGCTAATGGGTCCTAGAAAAAACACACTGTTACCCAATAAAAATTAAAATAAAAAAGTATAAAAAGGCTTATTATTCTGAATAACCATTTCCTGCAACTTTTAACTCTTAAGCTACTTCTTCTAGGAGTTGGTGTCATATCTAAATACTTTGTTCATATTTCTGTTTCTTGATTTACCTATTTTAAACAATACCATTTGACTGCCTGTCATAGAAAGTGGAGATTTAGCTCTCTTACCAACCCTCCTCTCCTGTCACCCTATCCTCTAAATATAATTATACTGCTATATTTAGAGCATAATCAGAGACCATGTAAACGTTGCTCACTGCACAGCAAAATAGTGTACTATACTTACTTTTCCTTTGTCATTCAGCTTTTTGGGTTTTTACATTTCTAATTGTTCTTCCCCCTTTTTTTTTTTTAGTTGAGCCATCCTGCCACCTGTTGGCAGCTCAACTCGGGCCGGACTCGAACTGGGGTTGCTCAGAGCTCAAACCTTTGAGCGAGCTCTTAACCAACTGAGCCACTCAGTCAGCCCTTTGTTCTTCCCTTTTTTTAATACCTCTATCTCACCATTATCATAGCCTCAATATTTTTCAAATGCTTCATCATATTAGGATTAAAGACTTAATGTTTAAAATATATGTAATAAGAGAGGGGGATTGGAATCAATGGAATTGTAATAGATAAGCATGATATCAGGGGTGGGAGGGCAATACATGGGGGGAGGGGGGTTGTTACTCTGTGAGGGTGAAAAGGATAACTATTGCATTGTTCTGTACACCTGAAACTAACAATAAAATAAATAAATAAAATATTTGTAATAGAAGAAAACATAGGTGAGTGTGTTTATAACCTCGAGGTAAAAAAGAACTCCTTAAACAAAATGTAAAACCATAGAATAAAATATAAGGGAAAAGATCGACACCATTAAATTTAAAGACAAACAGAAGCTCAGGATAAGGATTGCAAATTAAACACATACATTTATTTTTACTCCTTCCTGAGCCCCAACTAAAACTACAATAAACGTTTCTGTTATGTGTGTGTATAGACATAAACCCACAAGGACCCAACTGGGACATGAGAAAAAGGTAACTTTCCAGAAGACTGCTACTTAGACAAGTAAATATTTCTATAAAAATAGGTACAAAGCAAAACTCAAAAGTATAAATTTGGAGGACTTCCAATGCCTTGTTCATACATACAGTAAAAATACTTTACTGACTACTAGTATGCCAGCGTTCAATAGAAACACAAGTAATGGTTTCTACTAGAAATGTAAAAAGAAAAGAAGAAAAAAAATTCTAAGGATCAATCATCCCCAAAACGTAAAAAATCATCATCCCCAAACATGAAAACTCATTGTAATCCCGGGAATTCCTGAGTTTCCCTTTAACAATAAAGCATTTCATTGCTNATTTGGGTCATCTTTGGAAGGAAACTTCTGGCTGAAATGGCCAGAGAATGATTTCAGAGAAAGATGATAAACATGAACAAAGGGCAGCAAAACCCAAAAAAAAAAATTTACAAAATGTTCTCGAGCATGTGTTTTTATGATTTTCAGGTCAAGTGTGTGACCCTTGGAGAGGATACAGATTTTAAGGTCAAAATCACAAGCATGGAATGTGGGAAAAAATCATCAGAGTTAGAATCCTAACTCTGACATTTGACAAGTTACTTAACATTTCTGAGCCCCAGTTTCTTCATTTGAGAAATGGGAATAACTATACATCCATATCCCAAACTTCGATTACTATTAATGTACTGGTGATTCCCAAAGCCACTTTTCTGTGCGAGTCTTTCCTCTGAGTTCCAACTATAGAGTCAATAGGTGGAGGAAAACTCCATATTGGTCCAAAGACAATGCAAATGAATTCAGAATTTCCAAACAACTTCCACCCCATCAAACTGTTTTCTAAAGTCAGGGAATGGTATCACTACACATCCACTTTTTTTGCCCAAACCATTCATCAACTGAATCACTGGGCTCTAATTTTGTTATCTCTCAAGTTGCCCCCTTACCTCTATTTTTACTTCCTCTGCTTATAGTTCAGTTTCTCATCTTTTCTTTCCTGAATAATTACTATAGTGTTTCACATACCCAGGGATTAGTGGTGGCACATAGTAATATGTTAATAGTACTTGAATCCAAAGTCTGGATTGAGGAAGCAGATAAATTATTACATCAGGTGTGATGAGTGCTATGGTGTGTGGGATCCTGATACAGGAGAAAATACTCAGCTGCCGAGGAGGAC